CCCCTCGCGCTTCGACCCCACTTCCACTATTTTCCCATCTCTTTCGTGGCGTCGACGATTACTTGTGACTGTGTTTTTTGTTGTTCCTCCTGCTACACGGCCGGCCGCGCCTCGGGGCCTCCCCGCCGCAGCGCGCCCCCCGGAAGGGCCGACAACGAACGGAGGCTCCTCCTCCTCCTGCTCCTCCTCCTCCTCCTCGACGCGTCTCTCCGATGGGTTGCGAAGGTCTGAGGTTCGGAGGCGAACGAACTGAGTGGCGGCGACGAGGTCCGAGTCAGAAAGCACTGCGTGAACATTTAGCTGTCGGATGTCCGCGCGGAATGGGTCAGGGATCTGCGCTGAACCTCTTTTGCGCCACCTCCGGCGCCGTCCCCAACGCGCTCCGCGCGGTACGGAGGGTGGTCCAGCACCGATCCAAGAAATCCACACCTTGGAACATCTGTAGTGTTGTACTCTTCTTCCAGTATCGGTATATTTCTGTTCCCCTCCCCCCAGTCCCTCTCATCTGGCCATGGGGGCTTGAGGTTGGGGCCAGCTTTACGAACTCATCCTAAGTGGTCTGGAGGTGGGGCTGGGGGCACCGATCCGATCGAATCACAGCGGGAGCAGTCTTCCCGTTGGCAGTCGAGAGGAGGACAAGCAGAACATCCTCCGGGCTCTCAGTGTGAAGAACTCGTTCCCGGGCTTGCCTTTTCGGTTGATGTTATTGCTGTCGGAGTCCAAGGAGAAGGCGGCGCACGTGGGCTTGCGGCCACAGAGGTGCTTCTCTGTGAACCAGATGCGCAGTTGTCTTTTCTGGCAAGCCTGCCGCTGCAAGGGCTGGAACACCCTTCTGTGTAACCTGATGGTCACGCGTGACGCTGATGAGGTTCGAATCAGGAAGAAATGTAACGAGGATTTTTCGGATCTGTGCTGGACCTTCTTGACTGCGCCTCGGGCGCAGCCCCTGGCGCTCTGCGCGCCAGGGAGGGGGGTCCAGCGCCGATCCAAGAAATCCGCGCGGACCTTAGACAGTTGATATTCATACGTTGTTTCTTCTTCAACAGGTGGATAGCGCGATCTTGCTGGATGCGCCGTGGCTAGAGGAGTATCTCCTCGGTCTTGGGCACGAGGTCTACGGCTTTCTGCCGCTCCCTGAGCTGCACGGCAAGTCCATCAGGGCTTTGACCAAGGATGCGTTCAGACGCTTTGGCATTTTGGTTATCGGTGCGCAGATTCACGGCCGCATCGTGTTGGCACCGATACAAAGACACGATGCAGGGATCATACGTGGCGGGACGGTGCTATTCGCGTTGGCACAGGACGAGGATGATTTACGAGACATCGCTGTCGACAATAATACATTGTGTTGGAAAGATGTCTTTACCGAGGAGCGGTTGCAGATGTTCGCCCAGGAGAAGCGTGAGCCGTCGCATTTTTTCGTGAGTTTGGACAGCTTGGACCAGGCAATCGAAGTGACGTCCAGAGAGGAGTCCGACAATTCTCACGAGCGTGACTCGTGCGGGTTGATTGCCAACGAGTTCGATGGTCTCGAGGAATCCGACATGGGTCAATTCAGAAGCCTCCACCGCCGACCTTCTTTTTGACGCTACACCCACTCTGATACTTCTCTGGGGCGTTGCCTGCGCGAGGCTTCCAGAAGCCTCCACAAGTCGGAACAAATGGCCACGATCGCCGATCTTCGCTTGACACGTCGCCCACTCTGACATTTACCTTGGGTGTGGCATCCGCGAGGCCTGCTGAGGCCGAAAATGACACAAACATGAGTACAGGCGCATCATAAGAATGAGCAGATTTCCAAGGAAATCCGTTCATTCTTGCACCTTCGGCCCATTGCTCATTGTGACGGCCGGCGTCGTGCAAAAAACCAACGCGCCACTCAGCGCCACTCAGCGCCACTCACGCCACTCAGCGCCAGTCAGCGCCACTCAGCGCCATTCAGCGCCATTCAGCGCCACTCGTCCATTGCCTGGCGCAGAGTGGCGCAGAGTGGCGCTGAGAGGCGCTGACTGGCTCTGAGTGGCGCTGACTGGCGTGAGTGGCGCAGAGTGGTGCGGCGACGCACTGGTGGCGCGAACCGGTGCTGAGTGGCGCTGGGTGGCGCTGAGTAGCGCTGAGAGGAGGAGGGGTGCGAGGAGGAGCACGAGGCCGAGGAAGAGGAGGAGGAAGAGGAGGATGAGGGACATGAGGAGGGGCAGGAGGAGGGGGATGGAGGAGGAGGAGGAGGAAGAGGGACAGGAGGAGGTGGTGGAGGAGGAGGCGGAGGATCTGGAGGAGTCCTATTGGAGCCATGGGCCCTCTCTTCGAGGCATATTGGAGGCCATTTTGGAGCCATCTGAGGATGCATTATGCCGTATCGGTTGAGCTATCCAGAACCCCCTCGGGGTCATCTTGTAGCCTCTCGGGGGCCTCTTGAGCCCATCTTGTGGGCTTCGGGATGCCCGATCCAAGAGGAGGACATCGATCAAAGAAAGGGTCACCATCGTGGCGCCATCGCATCCATTACCTTCGTCATCCTTGCCGCCTGCTCCCTCGTCACCCTCGTCAACCCTGACCCATATTGCGCTCATATTTTTGGCAATCGCGATGGCTTGCGCCATCTGCCTCCGCGGCTTCGAGCCAGGCGACTCGTGGTCCTTGCTGTGCGGGCATGAATGCCACAAGGATTGCATATCCCAGGAGTTCGACAGGCGTCGCTTGACCCACGTGATGGACCTGCCTTGCCCCCAGCGCGGGCAGACAGGTCGCGACATGGAGGCCGCCGCGGATGGGCTGCTGACAGAGGAGGAGGACGCGGAGGTGGGCCTGGCCCGCGACCGCAGTCGCAGCCCCGGCCCGCGATCAGCGGCGCGCCCCAAGCGCGCGCCCGCCCCTCGCGCAAGCTCCGCGCGAGGGGCGTTCCGCATCCCGAACACGCAGGGCGAGGGGCACAGGGTCATTCGCGCGAGGCGGCAGCCCGCGCGGATTGCAGATCCTCCGGTCGATGCCGGGCCAGGGCCGGCGCCCGGCGCCGCGGGGGCGTCGGCGGGGTCGCCGCCACCGCGGCGCGGCCGCGACGAGGGCGACGATGGCGCGCCCATTCCGGCGCTCCGCGGCGCAGTCGTGGCGGCGGGGTCGCCGCCGACGCAACGCGGCGGCGAGGATGAAGGCGAGGGTTCGCTTTTGCCAACGCAGCGGACTGGTCGCTCCCCGTCTCTTCGGGGGAGAACCTGCTCACCGAGGCTGACGTGCTTGGCCGACGTGCTTGGCTGACCTGCTCACCTGCTCACCGGGGGAGAACCTGCTCACCGGGCTCTGCGGCCGCCGACGCCTTGGCCGACGTGCTCCGTGACCTTGCAGCGGGGGCTAGAGTCTAACCTCACGCCCGTGAGAATAAACACTAGGGGGTAATAAAGTTCGGGGTTCAGGGAGAGATGATAAAAGTAGCCCAGCAGACCTCAGCATAATCTCGAAGTAAGAGATGATCAAGAGGAGACCAAGCCGAGCACGTTTTGAGACCTCCTTGGCGTTTAGTTTTCATAGAAATATCCTCAACAATGGCTTATATCTCATGATTTTTTTGGTAAGTTCTCGTGTAGGGTAGCTCATGTGCCTCAATTTCCATGGATAATCAACCCCAGAGATAAAAAAGTTCAGGCGAGCGTGGGGACAGAGAGAAATATAAAAGAAGAATAATACAGTATAATAATAATAAGAAAGAAGAAGAAGAGGAGAATAAGAAGAGGACGAAGAAAGGAAAAATCCAAAGTTCCAAATCTGTCAATTTTAATTTACAAACGCTTTATGAAAATTGTTGTTTTTAAGTGCTCGTGTAGGGTAGCTCATGTGCTTCATTTTCCATGGATAATCAACCCCAGGGATAAAAAAGTTCAGGCGAGCGTGAGGACACATAGAAATATAACAGAAGAAGAGGAAAGTAGAATAATAATAAGAACATTGTTCGTTTCGTTTGAGTCTGCCTCCCAAAATTATTGGTTTCGCTTGACACATCCTGAAAAAGTGTGATCGCTTCGCTTGATGTTGCTATATCAACATCGCTTGATGTTGCTATCTCAACATAGCGTTTCGAGGTGATAATGAAGTTCGGCCTCAGCGCTCGCCGCCCAATTTGAATTTTGTATAGGGCGACGATAATCAACTCTAAACACTGAAGGGGGGGGTCCCTTTATTAGAAAGAGCGTGTTCTACCGCTGCTGGCGGAAAATCGGGGGGGGTCACTACCGGTTCGAACCCCTACCCCCCCCCCGCTGCTGCCGGAAAACCGAGGGGGTCACTGCCGTTCGAACCCCTCCCCCCCCCCCCCTCCCCTGGTCAATCATGAAAAGAGGGGGGGGGGGGGGGGTCTACTAAACGGGTGGCGAACCCCTCCCCTCCCCCCCCTCCCCGCCCCCTCCGGACCCGAAAACCCGGGGGGGGGTCCTACCGGTTCGACCCCGCCCCCGAACAAACAACGGCCCCCCCCCCCTGGAAAACCAAGTGGGGGTGCGGACAGTGGTGGGGACGGTGTTGGTGGGGACAGTGGTGAGGGGACAGCGGGACAGTGGTGGGGACAGTGGGACAGTGGGACAGTGGTGGGGACGGTAGTGGTGGGGACAGTGGTGGGGACAATGGTGGTAACAGGGGGGACAGTGGACAGTGGTGGGGACGGTGGTGGTGGGGACAGTGGTGTGGGGACAGTGGGAATGAGGTGGAAACAGTGGGACAGTGGAGGGTACAATGGTGGTGGGGACAGTGGTGAAGGCGGTGGCGAGGACGGCGGTGGGACAATGGGACAGAGGTACAGTGGGGACAATGGTGGGGACAGTGGGGACAGTGGTGGGAACAGTGGGACAGCTCAGTGGGACAGCGGAGGAGTCAGTGGGACAGTGGGGACAGTGGGGATAGTCGGGCAGTGGTTGGGGCCGTGGAGACAGTGGGAGAGTGGAACCGTGGTGGGAACAGTTCTGGGGACAGCGGGGACAGTGCGACAGTGGTGGGGCCACTGGGGACAGTAGGGGCGGTGGTGGAACCAGTGGGGACAGCGGTGGTGAGGACAGTGGTGCTGGGAACACCAGCGGGGGATGTGATGCGGACGGTGGTGGGGGCCGGGAGTCGTTTGCTGGCGGTTGAGTAGGGGGATGGGGGGGTGGGGATGGGGGGGGTGAGGGGGGGGGGGGGGGGGGTGATCGGGGGGGGGGGGGGGGGGGGGGGGGGGGGGGGGGGGGGGGGGTGGGTGTGTGGGGGGGGTGTGGGGGGGGCGAGTGAGGGGGGGGGGGGGGGGGGGGGGGGTGGGGGTGGGGGGGGGGTTCGGAACCGGTATGGCCACCCCAACATTGTTTTCTTTTTCACTGGATCCGGAGGGGGGGTGTGGGGGTTGCGACCCTTTGGGAACGAGGAGTGACGCCAGCCCCGGTTTTCGATCGGGATGTGGGTGTGGGGGGCGGGGGGGGGGGGGGGGGGGGGGAGGGGTTTAGCTGGGGGGGTTTGCCGGGGGGGAGGTGGGGGGTGGGGGTGGGATGGGGGTGGAGGGGTTCCAGCAATGGGTGGGGGGGGGGATTTTCGGAGGGGGGGCGGGGGGGGGCGACCCCCCGGGTTCCGGAGGAAAAGGCTGGCAATTTTCCTTAGTAAAGCGGCGGTGGATCACGCTCTCTCCTTTATTATCATCGGCATGCGGTTAGAGCCCTGCCTGACGGCCCCTGCCGCCCGTGGTCGGCGGGGGAGCGGCGCCTCCGCGTGGAGGGGATCGTCCCGGCTGCGGCGCGGAACCACCTGCTGGAGACGCGCGCAGCTGGGTGCGAGCACACGTTGCGCCCCCGGTGGAAGTCCGAAGCCAAGCTCCAGCATATCTTGGATACGCCCCTGCCCAGGCAGTTCGAAATGCGCAGGTGGCGCTGCGCACAGAGCGGAGTTTCTTTTTCGGTCGGGCCGAGCGACGTCCTGGACGCTTGCCCGTCGGCGCTCCGTTGCGCAGACTCGCGGCGCCCCGCCTGCGGCTTCTACTTCGCCCGGCCCTTCCTGGTCATGGTCTTGCAGAAGTTCATGGAGGTCCTGAACCTGCGCGCGGTGAGGCGCTCCTTGTTCGAGTACTACTCGAACAATGCCCTCGCGCTCGTCGGTGGCGCTCGCAGCCTGTGGTTCCTCGAGGCGACCCCTGGGAATCGCGAGCTGCGACGTTGCATTTGCCTCGCGCTCGAGAGCTACCTGCCCGACGAGGTGGCGCGCATGCAGCGGGGGGTCCACGCGTGCTCGGGCGCCGCCGTCAAAGGCGACGGCGAGAAGAAGTTGGCCGCCGTAATCCAGGAGACGGCTGGGGGCGCACACCTTGACTCGCGCTGTTCAGGTGGTGGGTCGGGCGGGGGCGCGGGGGGAAGCGGGTCAGGGGTGGCGCCCCTGGTCGCGCCAGGAGAGGCAGACGGTCGACGGCGACGGCGCGCCGCGCCGGTCCCACCGCAAGCGGCCGTTCACGAACGTCCACGCTTGGACCGGCATCGATGGCGCCCTTCTGAAGCCCGTGGTCGCGCTGGAGACGGAGGATTGGCCCGACCTCAAGGCACGTGAGGGTACAGATC